TTTATCTGCTTTGACCCTGCCACCTGCACATGACTTCTTACACAGAAATACATTGTTGGTCTATCTGCTCTGGCCCTGCCACCTGCACATGACTTCTTACACAGAAATTCATTGTTCACTTGTAGGTTTGGAGACTCACCTTCTAAACACGATCACTTTAACAGAAATAGATTGCTAGTTTGTTGGTTTGGACCCTTCCCTCCTACACACAATCTCTGACACAGAAATAGTCTCTTGTTTTGGACCTTCGTTTGTTACACACAATCTGTGTCACAGTTTAATCCTATAGAAGACAATAAGTTCTAACCAATAATATCATTAGCTTATGAAATTCAATTTGGCAGGAATTGTAGCATTAATCATTATGAATTATCCATGAAGGGTGACAGAGCTTTCCAACGTTTTTTTGATGGATTATAAGTAGACAAATGAATTTATGTGATGATCTTCCGGCCTAGCTAGAAAGATTGATATAGCATTGATCACTGGTTCATGCATAAATAACTATACAGACAATTCCTGTTGTGGTACTGATGCTGTACTACACTTCACAAGTGTTGTGTACTTCACCAGTGTTTTGTACTTATAGACTGTATAAGATTCAGATTATGGATGTAAGGTTCCACCAGCCATGCATTGTATACAATCTGTGACAGCAATGTAGGATTCCACCAGTCATACATTGTATACAATCTGTGTCAGGGGTGTAAGATTCCACCAGTCATACATTGTATACAATCTGTGTCAGGGGTGTAAGATTCCACCAGTCATACATTGTATACAATCTGTGTCAGGGGTGTAAGATTCCACCAGCCATACATTGTATACAATCTGTGTCAGGGGTGTAAGATTCCACCAGCCATACATTGTATACAATCTGTGACAGAGGTGTAAGATTCCACCAGCCATACATTGTATACAATCTGTGACAGAGGTGTAAGATTCCACCAGTCATACATTGTATACAATCTGTGACATCGATGTAAGATTCCACCAGCCATACATTGTATACAATCTGTGACAGAGGTGTAAGATTCCACCAGCCATACATTGTATACAATCTGTGACAGAGGTGTAAGATTCCACCAGCCATACATTGTATACAATCTGTGACATCGATGTAAGATTCCACCAGCCATACATTGTATACAATCTGTGACATCGATGTAAGATTCCACCAGCCATACATTGTATACAATCTGTGACATCGATGTAAGATTCCACAAGTCATACATTGTATACAATCTGTGTCAGGGGTGTAAGATTCCACCAGCCATGCATTGTATACAATCTGTGACATCGATGTAAGATTCCACAAGTCATACATTGTATACAATCTGTGACAGAGGTGTAAGATTCCACCAGCCATACATTGTATACAATCTGTGACATCGATGTAAGATTCCACCAGTCATACATTGTATACAATCTGTGACATCGATGTAAGATTCCACCAGTCATACATTGTATACAATCTGTGTCAGGGGTGTAAGATTCCACCAGTCATACATTGTATACAATCTGTGACAGAGGTGTAAGATTCCACCAGTCATACATTGTATACAATCTGTGACATCGATGTAAGATTCCACCAGTCATACATTGTATACAATCTGTGACATCGATGTAAGATTCCACCAGTCATACATTGTATACAATCTGTGACATCGATGTAAGATTCCACCAGTCATACATTGTATACAATCTGTGACATCGATGTAAGATTCCACAAGTCATACATTGTATACAATCAGTGTCAGGGGTGTAAGATTCCAGCTAGTGTGCTCTGTATAAGATCTTCTATATGAGACAGATGTATAGCTGGTGTGTTCTGTATAAGATCTTCTATATGAGACAGATGTATAGCTGGTGTGTTCTGTATAAGATCTTCTATATGAGACAGATGTATAGCTGGTGTGCTCTGTATAAGATCTGCTATATGAGACAGATGTATAGCTAGTGTGTTCTGTATAAGATCTTCTATATGAGACAGATGTATAGCTGGTGTGTTCTGTATAAGATCTGCTATGTGAGACAGATGTATAGCTGGTGTGTTCTGTATAAGATCTGCTATATGAGACAGATGTATAGCTGGTGTGTTCTGTATAAGATCTGCTATATGAGACAGATGTATAGTTAGTGTGTTCTGTATAAGATCTGCTATATGAGACAGATGTATAGTTAGTGTGTTCTGTATAAGATCTGCTATATGAGACAGATGTATAGCTGGTGTGTTCTGTATAAGATCTGCTATATGAGACAGATGTATAGCTGGTGTGTTCTGTATAAGATCTGCTATATGAGACAGATGTATAGCTAGTGTGTTAGGTAAAAGATCTGCTATATGAGACATATGTATAGCTAGTGTGTTCTGTATAAGATCTGCTATATGAGACAGATGTATAGCTGGTGTGTTCTGTATAAGATCTGCTATATGAGACAGATGTATAGCTGGTGTGCTCTGTATAAGATCTGCTATATGAGACGGATGTATAGCTGGTGTGTTAGGTAAAAGATCTGCTATATGAGACAGATGTATAGCTAGTGTGTTCTGTATAAGATCTGCTATATGAGACAGATGTATAGCTGGTGTGTTCTGTATAAGATCTGCTATATGAGACAGATGTATAGCTGGTGTGTTCTGTATAAGATCTGCTATATGAGACAGATGTATAGCTAGTGTGCTCTGTATAAGATCTGCTATATGAGACGGATGTATAGCTGGTGTGTTAGGTAAAAGATCTGCTATATGAGACAGATGTATAGCTAGTGTGTTCTGTATAAGATCTGCTATATGAGACAGATGTATAGCTGGTGTGTTCTGTATAAGATCTGCTATATGAGACAGATGCATAGCTAGTGTGTTAGGTACAAGATCTGCTATATGAATCTAATATTTATCTAGTGTGTTAGGTTCTTATGAGTGATGTGATAAACAAACCTGTTTGACAACTCTGGGAGAGACAGTTTGTATACATATATATTTTGGATAATTTAACATGGACTAGAAAGTAACAAATTTGTCATATCTTCAATTGCAATGGTAATAATTTTCATTCCTGACATCATTTTATAATAGAATTGTATGATAACCTCCCATTGACCTCAGCATTACCTAGTTATCCATCAAATTTATTGCACTCCGGTCTATCTTATTTGCCTTGTAATTAAAGGGAAACACTATTTTATATACTTGAACTACCATTGGTTGATTAAATCTTGTCACTGTTTGAATATAAAAGGGACATTGATTACTAAAAACTGCTTGCACGGAACATTGTTACGAATTCTACGAAGTATATATGTTTGGAACGGTATGATATTGATAGTCAATCACCAGCCATGAATAGTAATCATTCTTTGTGATTTTCACGCGTGGGATAATTTCACATGTAAATAAATAATAAAACACTGATACTCAAAAAAATTCTTTATTTCCATTGACATCGTAAGGAATTTTCAGAATTTCGAGCAAAAATCATCCTATTTTACACATACATTGACATATTTTTTCATTTTTTTTTAAACAAACAAATCTATAATTGTAAAGTTAGTGCTGTAAAACCGTTCATTTTTGTTTTTATTTTCATTGAATTTGTGTTAACTTAATAACCATGAATTTATATGTCCACGAAATGATAAAAATGGATATGAACTAAATAAGATTGAAACTTGTAATCTTGAAATTCAAGGGACAGTGAAAAATATTTCGACTTATCTGAATTTCAATTCATACAAATTATTCAAATAAGGTTGAGGATATCAGTTTCCTGATGTTGATTATGGTTGAACAAAGTACAGGCTATGATAGCAAGGTACACCATGGTACAAACAGCGTAATTTAATCTGTTATTTGAAATGGCAGTAAATAAACAGAAAGAAACGAATTTGCTTTCTCCCGAAGTTGTTTATTTAACCAAACAACAAAACATGTAACAACATCACCAATCAACTACATTTGCACTCACGTCCTCCGTCCCGGAATTGTGAGGATCAGACATCGTCAAAAAGTCTGTAATGGTTTCACGGTTTCATTTTTAAGCGTGCAACACTAATTAAGAAGCAACCTTTTGATTGGATAAAAAACGTAGTAATTATTCGCAAGAGACCAAGTGTTGTGTGTACAATGGACTGGTATACCATAATTAGCCATGTGTTATACACAGGTGACTTTCTACTCTGTTTATGTATTGACCAATTTCGTCAGCAGACATGTCAATGTTATGACGAAAAAATTAATTTCGAGACAACAAATGACTTCTCCCTTGCTTTACCATTGAAGGCACCGAAAAATCTTGACTGAAATTTTGACTGAATGAAATTTGAGTCATTGAACTAGAATTACAAATAAATAGGATAAAAACAGGACTTGAAAATTTGACTTTAACAGAATTTCGACACAAGCGATTTGGAGACAACAAGTTTCAGCTATAGTACAAATGAATTTTAGAGTAAGATATATCAACGAAATTAAGTGCTGCAACAAAAATACCTGATTTTGTAAATTCCCAAAATTCTTACAAGCTGATTGAATTATTTTCGGAAAGATTTTTTTTGTTGGCTTGTTTAGCACTTTAAACTCTCTCATCTGTTGTTCTAAAAGTATCTCGGAAACAGATCAAGTAGTATTTTACTTAATGATGTTAATTTGGACGCAACAATATTTGGAAATTGTTGCCATTTGACCACATGTTAATTTTCATTGTGAGATGTGATAGATTTCCCGATACCTTTGGGTTTATCAATGGCTCATAGTAATTCTTTCTTATGAGACATCTACGTTTGTTACTGGTATACGTTTCTATATTTAGATACGATGCAAGAATATCTGTTTGGCATATGGAAAGTATATTTTTCTACTGCAATAATTTTACGTCATGGATACACTCAATAAATAAAGAAAAAGTTTACTCTCTTCATTACAATCTAACAAGTTATTTTTGTATTTTATTTATGAATGATGTCATTTTGTTATAATTGTCTGATTTTATATTTTACAGAGCAAAGGAAAGTCATCAGATTGCAGAGGCTACACAACAGAAAAATGCTCGGCTCAAAGAGGCATTTGGCATCAGTGAGCATTATGTGGATGGGTCCTCATTTGATCCTGATCGCAAGGCTAAGGAAGACGCAGCCAAGGCATTGGCCATGGCCCAAAAAAAGTACAGGTAAGGAAAATTTAGAATTAATCCGTGAACCCATCAGTTGGTCTAAAACTTGATACCTTCATTGTTTGTGAAGCTTGAAAAGGTAGTGTATAAGGATCGTTGCTGTCGTTCATGGCTAATGTGAACCAGAGTGTGTGTGATGGTTTTAGTTCTGTTTAACCATCAAACTTCATTAAGAGCTTCCTGACAGTTGGTACTTTCACACATCGCTTCCTTGCTTAAAATTCTTGTTTCATATTGCTTTCCAGGTATAGAGGTTAAAAGTCAAGGTTACTGTTACTAAACGAGAATATTTCACACACCACAACAAAAAACTTCATCTTCCCAAACTTTTTCTCTCTTTCTGTAGAAATCTGTTTCTACAAAATATCTTGAATTTCCATTTGAGGGTTACATTCACACTTAAAATCAACCAACAGCTAAGTTATTGGCTTAAATCTAATAGAATTTTCTCATGGATAGACAAGATCTCCCTACGAAAGAGTCCCCTTATCACTTAAATTGTATATTAACATTTTGAAGTCAAAAACAGCTAACTATCACTATAAACAGCAAGTATGGTATGACTTGAGTAATTCTTAATCACTCGGAACTCTGTGATATTTAGTACAAACATGGATCTAACAGAAAATGATATTTGAAAGTGGAACGAAAATGCCCCAAAAGAATTCCTCATGACAATAAGAAATGAAACGGGCCTAAAATATTTGTAAATCTGGGGGGAAAAATGATATTTATATTTCATCAAAATTGGTATATTGATCTCCATGGCAACCAATTACTCAAATTTTATAAAAAATATTTTTAGATATTGGAGCTTATGGATGAATGCTGCGATCTAATACAGAAGCATTGGGTACTGACTTTAATGATTTTGTCTCTCTCGTGTAGAATGTAATCTGTCGCAAAATTATTGTTTCCCTTCAAATACAGAAGGGAACATCATGTTCGACTCCTGACTTCCTTAAAAGGATTCTCAACTCTTTCTGCTGTCAAGACATCTAGAGACATCGCAGAAAAGTGCTTCCAGATCATCATCAGGTCTTGAGGTGTCACTGTGTAAATGCCTTTTTCCTTAGTAATACATATAGACCTAGTGAAACACGTTTGTGCGACTCGCTTGTTTGGTATGAATTGGAAAACAAAATGAGTATATTCAACCAATATTAGGTATCAAAAATTGGATCATGATTATAAGTAGATGACTTACTAGATTTTTTATTTTTTGAAGTCGACAAATGATCAGAAATTAGCCGGTTTTTGTGTGGTTGTTTATGCTGACAATGAAATACAAGAAATCAAATAGATACAGCTGTATTTTCCATTACCCTTCCAAACACTTTCACGCTATTTGTAGATATTCAGTAAACAAGTTTCTACTCATTTCATACAATAGATTGCAGCAAATATATATATATATACTCTGATATTGTAAATGCCAATGGTAAATCATCCTTTCAGAAAAACTGGCAAAACCAGCTATGTGCTTATAAAAATACCAGCTCCAAAATCCACTGCAATTGTGTCAGCAAAAAATGGTCAGAAGCAGCTTCAGGAAGGAAATCAAGCTTGAGGGGCAGGGACCAAAAGAGGAAATTTAGCAAATTCTTTAAAATTGGAATCAAGCTTGAGGGGCAGGGACCAAAAGAGGAAATTTAGCAAATTCTTTAAAATTGGAATCAAGCTTGAGGGGCAGGGACCAAAAGAGGAAATTTAGCAAATTCTTTAAAATTGGAATCAAGCTTGAGGGGCAGGGACCAAAAGAGGAAATTTAGCAAATTCTTTAAAATTGGAATCAAGCTTGAGGAGCAGGGACCAAAAGAGGAAATTTAGCAAATTCTTTAAAATTGGTCTTCTATTGGAATGATTAAACCTTTTCCAAATTTGGTGTGGAGCATCATTTGGTGGTAAAGGTGATTCAACTTTGTTTTAACACTGGCTCTCAGCCACTGGGGCCAGAAGGATATAGTTCAAAATGGAAAGTAACAGAATTAGTTTTAAATCCTTCTTTGCAAAACAAGTCCCTTTGTTTAGTCTGAGGTGACACCACAAACTGCTGTTAGATCAGCTGAGGGACAGTTGAGGGCTGTTGTACCACAGTGTGTCTAATCTGAGATGACACCACAAACTGCTGTTTGATCAGCTGAGGGATAGTTTAGGTACATTGTACCACAGTTTGTCTAGTCTGAGGTGACACCACAAACTGCTGTTTGATCAGCTGAGGGACAGTTTAGGTTCGTTGTACCACAGTTTGTCTAGTCTGAGGTGACACCACAAACTGCTGTTTGATCAGCTGAGGGACAGTTTAGGTCTGTTGTATCACAGTTTGTCTAGTCTGAGGTGACACCACAAATTGCTGTTTGATCAGCTGAGGGACAGTTTAGGTACATTGTACCACAGTTTGTCTAGTCTGAGGTGACACCACAAACTGCTGTTTGATCAGCTGAGGGACAGTTTAGGTACATTGTACCACAGTTTGTCTAGTCTGAGGTGACACCACAAACTGCTGTTTGATCAACTGAGGGACAGTTTAGGTCTGTTGTATCACAGTTTGTCTAGTCTGAGGTGACACCACAAATTGCTGTTTGATCAGCTGAGGGACAGTTTAGGTACATTGTACCACAGTTTGTCTAGTCTGAGGTGACACCACAAACTGCTGTTTGATCAGCTGAGGGACAGTTTAGGTACATTGTACCACAGTTTGTCTAGTCTGAGGTGACACCACAAACTGCTGTTTGATCAACTGAGGGACAGTTTAGGTCTGTAGTACCACAGTTTGTCTAGTCTGAGGTGACACCACAAACTGCTGTTTGATCAGCTGAGGGACAGTTTAGGTCTGTTGTATCACAGTTTGTCTAGTCTGAGGTGACACCACAAACTGCTGTTTGATCAACTGAGGGACAGTTTAGGTCTGTAGTACCACAGTTTGTCTAGTCTGAGGTGACACCACAAACTGCTGTTTGATCAGCTGAGGGACAGTTTAGGTCTGTTGTATCACAGTTTGTCTAGTCTGAGGTGACACCACAAACTGCTGTTTGATCAACTGAGGGACAGTTTAGGTCCGTTGTACCACAGTTTGTCTAGTCTGAGGTGACACCACAAATTGCTGTTTGATTAGCTGAGGGACAGTTTAGGTCCGTTGTACCACAGTTTGTCTAGTCTGAGGTGACACCACAAACTGCTGTTTGATCAGCTGAGGGACAGTTTAGGTCCGTTGTACCACAGTTTGTCTAGTCTGAGGTGACACCACAAACTGCTGTTTGATCAGCTGAGGGACAGTTTAGGTCCGTTGTACCACAGTTTGTCTAGTCTGAGGTGACACCACAAACTGCTGTTTGATCAGCTGAGGGACAGTTTAGGTCCGTTGTACCACAGTTTGTCTAGTCTGAGGTGACACTACTAACTGTTGATTTACCAGAAGTTGTCAACAGACAGTTCTTTTCCTCAATAAGAAATATATGTAGTGTTAATTTGGGAACAATAATCAAATTTGTTTTATAGGGTTGGTGGCATAATGAGCACATGAGGAAGATTAATAAGGTCAAAATCAACTGTCTAGCTCTGAAACGGCCACAACCAGCTCTGTCTAGGTTCTATTTAATAACTGCGAGCAGTGCATGTCACACATGCTGCATATTCTTATCACAAATTCAAAGGAAAATTGATCTTATATGTTAGATTAATGAGCACACCCCTTTAAGGTAGCACCATAAATTTACACTGTTTGCAATGATTAAAATACCCATTTATTTTATCTGATGTGGTAATTCTGTTAGGGGACCAAATCCATCATAAAAAGAATTTTCTTTTTTAGCTGCATTTCCTTGTGAATACAAAGAGTCCAAAAGCTGAATCAGATCTTTTCTTTTTCGACGAATATCCAACCCAATGAATCGGTTTCAAAAGAAAAAAAAATATTTCAGAGAAATATCTCAACAGACATGGCTAGATTTCCTCAGAGAAAACCTGCCAGGTTTAGAGAGTAGTGTGAATGTAGTAATGGTGAACGTGAGACTTTTTATACAAATTAAATAACAGTGGTGATGATGGCTAGCTAGAACATCGACACATGTATAAATAGCTTTGGTAACTTTAATGAAGTATTTGATTGAATTTGAAGATAAAGATTGCTGTGTCATCAATAAGTTAGTGTTTCACTGTCATCAACTCAACTCAGTGTCTCATACAAACACTGTCATCAACTTAACTCAGTGTCTCATACAAACACTGTCATCAACTTAACTCAGTGTCTCATACAAACACTGTCATCAACTCAATGTCTCATACAAACACTGTCATCAACTCAACTCAGTGTCTCATACAAACACTGTCATCAACTCAACTCAGTGTCTCATACAAACACTGTCATCATCAACTCATCTCATACAAACACTGTCATCAATCAACTCAGTGTCTCATACAAACACTGTCATCAACTCAGTGTCTCATACAAACACTGTCATCAACTCAGTGTCTCATACAAACACTGTCATCAACTCAGTATCTCATACAAACACTGTCATCAACTCAGTGTCTCATACAAACACTGTCATCAACTCAATGTCTCATACAAACACCATCATCAACTCAACTCAGTGTCTCATACAAACACTGTCATCAACTTAACTCAGTGTCTCATACAAACACTGTCATCAACTCAATGTCTCATACAAACACTGTCATCAACTTAACTCCTACAAACACTGTCATCAACTCAGTGTCTCATACAAACACTGTCATCAACTCAATATCTCGTACAAACACTGTCATCAATCAACTCAGTGTCTCATACAAACACTGTCATCAACTCAATGTCTCATACAAACACCATCATCAACTCAACTCAATGTCTCATACAAACACTGTCATCAACTCAATGTCTCATACAAACACTGTCATCAACTCAACTCAGTGTCTCATACAAACACTGTCATCAACTCAATGTCTCGTACAAACACTGTCATCAATCAACTCAATGTCTTGTCTCATACAAACACTGT